TATTTTCTCCTATCATGTTTTTAACTTTATTTGAAGAATTTTATTATATACAATGGATATTAATTATAATCTGCTATAAACGCCCAACTATTTTCTGCCAGTCTGTTAGTTGTCCACTGGGGGCATAGCATCGTACAAGGTTCTTGGTTTTTGAGCCTGCTGCATGCTGGAGGGTGGAACTCTGTCCTCATAAGCCTCCTGGCTGGCAGTCCAGCTGTGCTTTCACTAGGCCATTCCATTGCTCTGCCAGACCAGCCACTATGGGTGGGACAACATGTGATGTGACCGCCGGGTTCCACGGTGGTGCACCCACTGCCATTCTGCTGTAAAGTAGATCCCTTTTGTCTGATGTGATGTTCCATGGGATATTATGATGGTGGATTTAATAATGTGTAAGCCCTTAGATAGCGGTAATGGCTAAGGCCCTGCAGGCAGGAAAGGCAGACGTTTACCCCGAAAATGTGTCTATTTCTGTTGAGGTGAATCAGGATGGAAGGCGTTCACCGTAGTCAGCTTGCCACCAAATGGACAGTTGGTCTCCTAGAGGGATGGTGCCAGTTTACAGATTGGCTTCAGCTTGTGTTGGAGCAGATTGGACAATGAGCAGCAGCAGGAGCTACATGGTCAGTGGGAGCCCGTGCTGTTGGGCCCATCCCTGCCATCATGGCTCTTCTTGCACCCATGGTATTGGCACTGGGATGACCAATGACAGAGGCTGGTTAATGTCAAGTGGCCATGCACTTTTCCTACTTGGTTGTTTAGCAACTCTTTCATGGCGGCAGCTTTCTGTGGGGTGGTAATCTGTAATTAAAATCTTCACACATCATACCCACTCCCATGTGCCCATTCATGTGCCTCTTGTCCCTAGTCTTCCAATCTCCTCCCTCCCAGGCCCCGCGACCTGCTGGCCAAACTATCTGCTACTCCATGTATGTTCTAACCTTGGGCCACTCTGTTTTCCACATAAAGTGTCCAACCAAGTTTACTACCCGAAGCTCTGGCCATTGGGAAAACTTTCCCTCACCACTTCTAGAGGGGCTAAAGTGCAGACACTGCACATAACTGATCTGCCTCATGACCACATATGGAGCCAACCCACCTGTGAACCAAGCTCAGACTTTTTCCTTCTCCATCAGCTTGTTTTAAGGACCCTCCACTCTGCCCTGTAGCTGTAAGTGTGAACTGAGGGGAGATAAGGAAGCCACAGTAGTGGATAACCAGGGTCTGGGTTACCTGCTCACGCAACTTGCTTCTTCCTTCCACTCCTGCTTGTGCTCGATTCTGGATGTCCCACTTCCACCCTACCTTATTGCTCCTGGGCCTGCATAACCTTTTGACTTGCATGTTCACAAGAGCCTCAAGTTACCTGTGTGCATGTGACCATGTAGCAGCACTACATAGTAGCAGTCAGACAAAAGGAGGGTAGAAGTGACAGCACCTTCCAGGCAGAGGACACAGGCAAAGGGTCCAAAGTGAGAAAAAGCACAGAAAGTGCAGATGGTACGAGAGGGCATCATGAGAGAAAGCTGGCAAGACAGGCAGGGGCTAGGTCACATTTGCCATTTTAGGACTTTGGGACATTATCCTGGTGGGATGAATATGAAGCCATTGAAGGGTTTTAGGCAAGGGTGTAACATGATCGTATTGTGTGTGTGTTGTGTGTACATGTGTCCTTACAATCACATGTATGCGGATATGGATTCATATGGATATTTGAATACCCATAAATCCATATTCATATGTGGAGAATGGTTTGGAAGGGAAGCAAGATGAATGCAGGGAAATCAGGAGACGGTTGCAATAGCCGGAGAGAAATGAAGGTGGCTTGGAGTAACATAGCAGCCGTGGAGAGAGAGGCAGATTCAAGAACTGTCTCTGAGGTGGGACTGACAGGATTTCCTGCCTGAATAGATGCTGCAGAAAGAGAACAGAGGACCTAGGATCATCCCTCACGTCCAGCTAAGCAACCCTAACATGCCTTCACAGCCTTAACATGGCTGTAGTGAGAGGGAGATCTGTTTGGGACACGTTCAGTCTGAGATGCCTTTGAGACAGCCAAATGGCAATGAAAAGCACGATTTGGGTTTACAGAGCCAGATATTGAGCAAGAGAGTCAGCCCCAGCCATGGGAGTCAAGAAGGTCACCACCAATGAGAGGGTGTGAGGCAACGAGAAAAAGGACCGGGGGCTCCCTGAGGAATTCCAACACTTGTAGAGGTGGGCTGGGGGAGGAGGAGCAGGCAAAGGCACCCCCCACAGAGCAGGGGAGAAAGCAGAGCTACGTCTACCCTGCCACCCTTGCCCTCCTACGATCTGTGTCAACACAGCAGCCAGGGCGATCCTTTAAAGTTGAAGTTCATGTTACTTCTCTGGTCTGCATTCGCTCAGATGAAAAGCCCACATCCTTACCACGGCCCCAAGGTTTCACCTGACTGCCCACCCCCAGACTCTGTGCCAGTCACGTGTGTCCCATTGCTGGTCCACAAACAGGCCAAGCACACTCCCGCCTGAGGGACTTTGCTCTAGTGCTCTGTCTCCCTGGAATGCTCTTCCTCCGGATACCTGCTCGGCTCACAGCCTCCCCACCCTCATTTCCTCAGCAAGGCCTCCCTAAGCTATTCTGACTGCAGCCTGCTTCCTGTCTCCCTCACTGCCTTCCCTTAGCACCCATCAGCATCAATCACACTCTGAGATTTACTTATTATGTTTTTTATTTTGTCTCTCGTCCCTGACCAGGACATTATCTCCACAAGGACAGGGATCTTTTGTCTATTTTGTTTACTGATAGATCCCAAGTGCCTAGAACAGTGCCTGGCACACAGTAGATGCTCCATAAATATTTGTGGTATTAACAAGAAAATCTGCTCTTTAAAGGGAGAGGCTCATGAAGCCATAACAAGAATGATGTTAGTCATTAGTCTGAGGCCATTGAAGGACCGTTACAATCTTAGCCTGGCCCTGGGACAACAGTCTCCAGGGTGAAGGTGTGACTGAGAGAAGGTGTCATACATTGTCTCTAATACTTTATGCCTCAGTGCAGATACTTCTCTCTGCCATTAATGGAAATGGAGTTTTGCAGTGATTATGTCTTGCAGTTTATCCTCCCCCCGAGGTTTCCACGTCTCTGAAGGCCATCAGGATAGATTTCTCATGATTCCCACAACTTCCCAAACTTTCCCAAGTTTTCTGTTTCTCTCCACAGATGCTTTTTAAAAATTGAGATATGATTCACATACCATAAAACTCATCCCTTTAAAGTGAACAATCCAGTGGTTTTCAGCACGTTCACATCGCCACTACTTCAAGAACATTTTTATCACCTTCTAAAAAAAATCCTATACCCATTAGCAGTCACCTCCCCGCTCCTTTCTCCCCTCAGCATCACTAATCTACTCTGTCTTCACAAATTTGCCTCTTCTGGACATTTTGTATAGGTGGAATCATATAATCTGTGGCCTCCGGTGTCTGGCTTCCTTCAGTTAGATGTTTTCGAGGTTTCTCCATGTGGCAGCGTGTATCAGTGCTTCATTCCTTTGCATGGCTAAATAAAATTCCCCTGTATGGATATACCACATTTTTTTTTTTTTGTCTGTTTTCGTGTCCGGCAACGGATTGCAACCCTCAGTGTCGCGCCCTCACCGGACCGGGACCGGCAACGGGATCGCAACCCTCGGTGTTGCTCCCGCCCCTCGCTCGGCCAGTGAGCGGGAACCGGTCCGTACGTGGGATCTGAACCCTCAGCGGGAGCGCCACCGCGCTCCCAAGCGGTGCACTGTAGCAGTGTGCCACTGGGCCAGCCCTGGATATACCACATTTTGCTCATCACATTTTTATCAGTTGATAAAAATTTGGGTTGTTTCCACTTTTGGGCTATTATGAATAATGCTATGAACATTTGTGTTCAAGTTTTTGTGTGAACATATATTTTCAATTCTTCTGGGTATCTACCTAAGAGTAGTCATATAACTCTATGTTTAACTTTTTGATGAGCTGCTAAACCGTTTTCCACGGCGTACACACCATTTTACGTTCCCCCAAGCAGTGGATAAGGTTCCATTTCTCCATTTCTTTGTCAGCACTTCCTATTGTCCATCATTTGATTATGGCCATCCCGGTGTGTGTAAAATGCTGTCTCATTGTGGGTTTGATTTGCATTTCCTTAATGACTACTGAGATTGACTATCCTGTCATGCTTATTGCCATTTATATATCTTTTTTAGAGAAATGTCTACTCAATTCCTTTGCCCATTTTTAAATTGAGTTCGTTGCCTTTTTATTGTTGAGTTGTAAGAGTTCCTTATATATTCTGGATATAAGACCTTTATCAGATATATAATTTGCAAATATTTTCCCCTATTCTTTCAGTTTCTTCTCCATTTCTTTCGTTTGTTTGTTTTTCAAGACCTAAACAAGTCCCATTCTTCTCGATTTCTTAATAGAATCCTTCAAAGCACAAGTTGTTTTAGTTCTGATGAAGTCCAATTTATCTTTATTAGACTTTATTAGATTTTTTCCCTTTGTTCCCACAGACTCTGATGCAGTGTCTGTATCCATTCTGACAAGAAAAGGAGGGTGGCGGCATACGGACAAATGAAAAAATGACATCTTTACAGTTTATACTACTAATAAAATTATTTAGAAAATAGTATAATTTCTGCTGGTGGATACAAGCCAAATATGAATCAGATACAAGTCCTCATCTGTTCCATTTAGCTGGATGGATCTCAGGGACAGAGTAATGGAGAATATCATTCTAGAGGAAACCAATTAGTATTTAGACTACTTAAATTGATTTATAAATTGCATAAGCACATCTATCAAAATTAAGTGGAATGTTTCAAATCAGCTTCATATAAAAACAACATTCTGTGAACTGTGAAAAGCAACATTCTGAACTATGATAATCTGTCTTTCAGATCTAGCATCTTAGAGCATACAGATTGGATACGTTGCTATGTGGGAGGAGTTGCCCCCATTTTCTCCAGAAGCTTGCATTTAATTCATATAGGTACATAGGATCCAGGCTCATCTCTTGGGATCTAGAATAAAAGAACAAATTCGGATGCTCACAACTTGGAAACTGTGACTGAGGTGAAAACAGCAGAACATTAGAAAGTAGGCTAAAAACCTCTGCGGGCAACCAGGACAACTAGAGGCCAGGGCACAGCAGCGTGTGAGAGCCGAGGCACCCAGGAGAGGGTGTGGCATGGGGGAGGGCGACTGGTCACCATCTCACGCATAAGGAGGGACTGAGGAGACGTGCAGCCAGCCTGTTTCTCCAGGGTGGAAGAGGTGACTCCTGGGGGTTTAGGAAAACCCACGAAGGATACACAAACAGCCGGCAAGAGAGTATAGGAGGGGCTTTCCCCTCCATATAAGGAATAACATTCTCATAGCCGGAGGGATAACTGTGAACATCATGACTTCCTTCCACGATTAAAAATCCCATTGTTGAAAGCAACGAAGAGAGCTGAGACGTTTGCTCAGCAGAGATGGGTCCCTGTGCCTGTTTGGGGTGGGACTGGAGACAGACTGGTGGACTGGCCTGTATTCCTGGCTCGGGTGTCCTAGGCTCAGGGCACAGTTTCTGAACTTCTATTTGTGACCAAGATGCCCTGGGAAGGGAACGAAACGAGAGAGGAACATAAAACTAATGAACCTTGTTTTTTCAAGTAGTATAGGATTGAGCCCCACTCCAAGCCAAGCAGGGCCAGGCTGAAGAAAAAACACAACTCAAGGGCACAAGTTCAAGGGCCACTCTGCTCTTCTCCTGCTTAAATGTCCTCAGGATTCCTGTCACCTTTTCTTCCACGGAAAACCTGGTGGCTAACAAAACTGGACCATAAGGGCAAGGGTCAAAAATTCAGAATTATATAACTGTTTTTCCTGCTGGGCAGAACGTAGCATTTTTGTGAACTTGTCTTCACGGGCCATCCTAATCTTCTCTGGCGTCAGTGGACTTCTGAGCTTCAGTGGTCCTAACAGGCCTCTCTCCTGCCGGGCTGCTCTCGCCGCATCATGGATGGCGAAAAACACTGAACACCCCAGGAACAGCGCAGACTCTCCCAGACCCTGGAGGAGAAACAAGTCAAGGAGATTATGACTTTCTCTCTCACTATGTATTTATGTGCATCTACGTATATGTGCATATAAAAAAATTATCTACTATATATGTAAATTTTTAATCTAAAAAAGTAATTTAATCTTCTGACCCAATATTCTCATTCTTGGAATTTTAGCCTAAGGAAATGATCCCAAATAGAGAAAGCACACACATATAGGCATGAAAACGATTACTGCAAGATGAATAATCAGATACAACCTGATGACAATAATACACGTTAGGCTCCAAGATTTGGAATATTTAAAAAATATCATGTTGTTAAATTACTTCATAATTAAAAAAAAATTTTTTTTCCTTTTTGTCTTTTTTCGTGACCAGTAACGGGATTGCAACCCTCGGTGTCGCGCCTGTACTGCGACCAGCAACGGGATCGCAACCCTCAGTGTCGCGCCCGCAACGCGCTCAACCAGTGAGCGGACCGGTCTCTATATGGGATCTGAACCCTCCGTGGGAGCGCCGCCGCGCTCCCAAGCACTGCACTCTACTGAGTGCGCCACCGGGCCGGCCCATAATTAAAATTTTTAATAGGGAATTTTCTTCTGCAATCCTGGCAAAAAATCCAAACAACCAAGAGATGAGTGTAGCCCTCCCCCCATCCCATAGATATCATATAAACATACATTTATTCATAGAGCATAGCTTACCTTAGATGAATACGGGGTATTTGAATTTTGAGTCGGAGGCAATAAAGAAATGTTCAGCTCTATGGGGATGTCACAGATGGCGGGGATTTTATACTGGTTGGGACCACGAGTGTACAGTACACCCTGAGGAGAATAATGCAGTTCCTCTATTGTATAAAGTCCCATGCCTTGAGTAAATGCACCTTCAATCTGAGGCAGAAAAAAAAAAAATTCCCCATATGAGAAAATACAGTCAACAGTAAGTGGCATTTCCACTTCATGCTGTTTGTCTGAATTTTTAAATGACAGTTTGAGGTTTTCAGGGTGTCTTGGAGCATGTCACTGAAAGTTTACCTAAGGGTTGGCTGGTTAGCTCAGTTGTTTAGAGCATGTTTTGATAACACCAAGGTCCAGGGTTTGATCCTTGTTACTGGCCAGCCACCAAAAAAAAAAAAAAAAAAGTTTACCTAAAAGCATTTCTAAACATCTCATTCAGCACTAAGTTAAAAGTCAAGGGACTTGGGTTCTAATCTTGCTTTGGCCATGAAAATCACAGACCCTTGTAGAGTTATGATTGGTACAGAGCCTGTAGTCCAAACACCCTCATTTTACCTGCTTATGAGGCGGATGAAACCTTCACTGGCTGATTTGTCCACAGACCCCACTACACTAGCAAAAGGCTCTCAGGGCTGGGGAATCCCATTATCTCATCCCACTGTCCTCTCTTACCAGCCAGCTACCCTCACATCTCTAGACTCAGTTTCTTTCTTGTAATATGAAGGGTTTGAAGTGTGCTCTCTAAACTTCCTTCACAGCTTTAAAATGCTTCAGTTCTAAATGTGGGTACATGGTCCAAACTGCCTTTCCACACCTTTTTTGGGTTTCTGGATCTCTTCTTAGTTTACTTCCTTCCCGTGACCATATCTTCCCCATCTCTCACTTCTGCCTATGAGCAGGGATCTACCATGATGTTACATGAATCTTCTTACAACTCCAGACCATTCCCCAGTCCAATCGCCTGCACCCACTAAGTTAAGTGCTGTCTTTGGAAAGCTTCCACCTACATGGCGCCCTTTCCTCTCTTTTTCTGGCCTCATGGCTCACTCCCTGACACAGGCACTCGCCACAGTTGTCAGCCCTGTCGTTGTCGCCAGTCGTGAACACAAGGTGTGCTGAATTTCATGTCTGTCTTTAGTTTGATTTCCTCCACTCTTCTTCCACCCTTGACAACCTGGTCCACACCCACTTCTTCCCTGAAGCCTCCTTTGACTTCTCCACCCCATAGATTCTTCCCATTCTCCAGTGACCCAATGTCATGGCTGGAGAGGACATTAGATTATGCTCTAAATCGGAGGTGGTGGGCTGAATTGGAGGCAGGTGAAGCAAGTGTGCAAAGATTCCAGGTGAGTCCCACATCATTGGGGAGTATGCAATTCTCTAAAGATGCAGCCAATTGACTTTTTCTTCATGGAAATGCAGGGCTGGTTTTGGCAAAATTTCAGTGTTTTCAAAAGAAGCTAGATATTTGTGATTTTTTAATCTTGTCAGTTATTTCGAATGTAAATTAAAAATGTCTGTGGGTTGAAGTCAGCCTGCAGGCTACCTATCAATAGCTACTGCTCTAATTATTTGAGGTTTGTTATCCCACACCAACTTTAAACTCCTTGATGCTAGAGCCCATCAAATGCCCGAGGTTCAGTGGATCTAAGTCCACTTACATTCCAGAGGCTTGGGGTCATCAGTCACCTTGAGGCGTGGTCTTGCCTCAGTCACGCTTGCCAATTTCAGAGTGTATGTTTCTTCAAAAACTACCTAAAACATCTTTGTTTCCTTTCCCTTTTTATTTATTTATTTATTTACCTTTATTTATCTTTTTGATGGCTGGCTGGTACAGGGATCCAAACCCTTAACCTTGGTGTTATAACACCATGCTCTAACCAAGTTAGCCAACCAGCCAGCCCTCCCCTTTTTAAACAGCAAGAAATTTGAGTTCTGAGCTGGCCTGAATAGAAAGATTTTGACTGAAAGAGTAGGAAAATAAGAGGACGATTTAACCACATGGACTGTGTTCCTGGCAGTAGCCATGGCAGTTTGGGCTTTTACAAACAGGAAGCGAGGTGACTTAGTTACACATACCTGGCCTATGTCAAGGGCTGGATTTATACTGCAGCCAATATACATGACAATGTCTGTTCTGATATTCTAGTAATATATAAAAAAAAAGTTAAAATGTTTATGTGAATGAAGATGACTTAACAAGAAGAAGCTGAGAAACAGTTCCTGCCAGGCTGGCATTGGTATAAAGCCTTTCTTTGGGCCATGTTATTTCAGAAGGAAGAAGAAACAAAAATTTTACTATTTGACAGAGTTTATTGGGTTAAACTTTTAAAGTTGTACAAATACTCTTAACCAGCTTAAGCCCTGTTTTGTTTTGTTTTTTTT